TCTGGAAAGTGGTTCATCCTCCTCCGAAGAAGACGAGGATGAGGATGAGGAGGAAGATGATGAAGATGAGGAGGGCTATGAGGAGGAGGAGGAGGAGGGAGAGGAGGTGGAAAGTGAGGCGGGAGAGCTTTTCACTCAACGGTGTTGAACATTCAGGCAAGCGTGTGTTGTTGTGTGCATGAAGACGACAACCTCTATGTACAGTTATCTGTTTCGTTTCCACATCCTTGAGGGTTTATGAAATGCTTTTTATAAAAAGGTCTTGTTTTGTTCACTTTGTGGGTGGGTTTAATTAGACGGCGCGTTTGTAGTTGGCCTGGAATTGTAAACCTCATGTAATTTGCAATTTTATTAGTGCTCCTTCGGACTTTATGCAAATGAAAAAAATGAGTTGGAGCGACATCAGTGACGCTTTAGAATGCTATGCGGATCCGCTAACACGCCAAGACGATCATTAACACCATCGTGAAAGGCGTGTGCTCTCGGATCCCGTCGATGTGCCTTTTTGTTTTGATCTTTTTTTCATGTTGGCATGACGCAAACAATCATTCCACTTCCCACGGAATTCATCAACTTCTGATGGCTCACCACATAATGGAGGGTGCTGTTTTTGTGCTCTCCACAATTGATGCAATGGAGAAATCGGTTTCAAAGAATTGGAAAGGAGAGTCTACAACACGATTATGACCTTCTTCTAGTCATTTTGAGTGCCCTTGTGGGACATCTTTCAGTGCCCTTTGTGTGTACCTCTGGTTTGACACAGTTGGTTCGGCACCGAGTGCCGTGGTCAGAAGTTATGTTGAGGTGTTTGAGGTGTGCTGCATCATTCTTGATAGGATATTGCGGTTGCACTCCAATGAAACTGAAATTGGAAAGGTGAGGAGGTTTTGTGAGGAATGCTACTTTAGACTTTTCTGTCTTCATTTCTCTGTGATCTCCATTTTTGCAGCATAACCTTGTGGACGGGTTCATGTGTGCCCTCTAGAAGCGGTAATGGAAGACACAAGGCACAAGTTCCCCAGACTGCTAACCACCGCCGAGGTGTTGTGCATCATCCGAGCAGTCAAGTAACTCAACCTTTCCTCTACGTAATCGCATGGCACTCATTGAGGATCCTCAAGGCTGCATTAAACCTCCTTTTTGTCGCCTCCATTGCTCTGATTTCCAGATTGGAGAAGGAAGGTGGAGAGTGTACTATCCTCTAATCTAGCTAAAGGCATTCCTTCGCCAGGGCTAGGCAAGACACTTAAACTGACACATGAGCCAGCTTGTGAAAGCGGTGAGGAAGTGCCTTCTATACACACCTCTGAACTGCTACTTGGGGCGGCAAACAGGTTCACAGACCGCATATGAGGTGAGACGATAGAGGATGAGTTGGTTACCAATAGTGAAAGAGTTGCTGGCTCCTCTTTACCTCTCCTTGACCTCCACTAAACTCACGCATTATGGTTAAGGTCTGTAAGGTGAAAATTTTGAGGAAAATCATAAATTCCACGTGAATGAGCCATGAACTCGTAAGAAGTCGCAGCCAAGAATTTTATTGGCTTCCGTGACATCACAACGCGCATCAGATTTTGAGAAAGGAAGCCTTAGCACACACACACACACTTCCTCAACTTCGCAATCAAAAATAAATAACTTCGCAGAGTAAAAGGAGGCTTTTTTGGCACAGCGTGGCAGTAGCCAAGCTAAACTTAAAAAGTTGTGCATTTACGCCGTAGAAGAGGGTGGTTTTGCGCACTCGACCTCATCTATTCATCAACCATAAATGTGGAGCAATGCGGCCGATCCTGCCACCTCCCCCTGTGAACTCTCTCATCACCGAGGTCGTGCGCACTCTCCAGAGGGTATAAAAGTGGACGACTATGAGACAGTGTGCATAGAGGTGCGACATGAGGTGTGCTATCAAGGGCTCGTTCACTCGAATTGGTCCGCTCAGTGCACTAATTCGAGTCAACAGGGTCGTTGCTGTGCGCTATTAACATCTCATTTTCTTTCATTTATTTTATGTTCATTTAACTAAGGTTGTGCATTATTCACATATTGCAGGCTCGAATCTATTATATGCGTTACTATTAAAAGGGGATATTTAATATTAAAAGTTGGTGAAATGAGTATAAGGTGTCGCGCTTTTTGCAAATATATTAAAATTATTAGTAGGAATTGCTTGTCTGTACAGCAACTATTGTTTTTTTGGTAAGTACCGTTCCCACTTGCTTGCTTTATCATATTTAGCAGTTGTTTAAGAGTTCACTTGCATCTGGGCAAGATTTAACCACCGTAATCTGGCCGGCTATACCAACAGAGGATGAATCTCACCAAGGCGATCATCGCCCACACAAACAGCCAAATAAACAAGGTATTTTACCTGACACTGCGGAAAAGTGCTTTGTAAATTAAGTGTACCACCAAATACCCTTAATAATTGAATGCCATGCTACAATAAAATATTGCTCCAAGAATTCAACATGATAAGGGGTTTCGTGAAACAGAGCACTTATTGTAATGAATTGTTCATAGGACTATCTGTATGAATGACGGTGGTTTTGGTAATTATCTCCACCTAATTTGAGTGGGCCGGCATTAAAGCCAAGGTAAAGTCGAAAGTATATTCCCCTTCCATCCATCAATGATGCTCACTCATGTCCAAAGCTTACTGTTGCTTAATAAACAGACAGAAAATGTTACTTTTTACAGAAAGAATAACATCAGATCTCGACAAGAATTACTTATAATTTAAACACGCGCAAAGTTGATTTAATAGCCTGTATAACTTAATTGTATTCTTTAATCTTAATAAATATTTGACAAAACTTTGTAATATCTAGTTTTTACATGCTTTTACATGAAGTATTT